CGTTATGCATCCTCATGAGATATACTCAGAAAAAAAAATGAAAACAAAAAAAAAAAACCACCACCACAGTTGCTCTAATTGCTTGGAGATTTTTTTAGCCTTTTGTAAAAGCAGCTTTAGCTGGAGGCACATGAGAAATGGTCCAGCAGTAGAAAGCACCTGGTATGTTAACGGGGAGCAAAGCCTGCAGAGTTTAATCTACCAAATGGCATGGGGTGCAGCAGTTCCCAGCCTCAGTCAGTGCTGGAGAATGACTGAGAAAACCAAACAAGAAACACAGCCTGTTTGTCACAGTCACAGAAAGGCAGAGAAAATAGCTCTATGCACAATGAAGGCTTTAATCTGCCTCATGCTTCCTGTTGGTGTTTCACAGGACCAGAGAGAAAGGCCAAGGTCAGGCTTTGCACAATTTACTACAAAGTTCAGCCAGAGGGATCGGGATTTCTTTCCCTCGTACTTTTACAATGTTTGATGAAAATAAAAATAACTATCAGCAGTTTCAGCCTGAAACAGGACACTTTGAAACGGAATGGATAAATGATGTCCTCAGTTCTGATGACAACTGAGAGCAACAAGAACAACTGCAGGGCTTACCAAGAGCCAGAAGTACCAGACGTAGAGCGAGAAGCAGCTCAGCACTTGGACCATAGCTGTCAGCAGGATCACATCCTTGAGGTGCCTGAGGGAAGAAAAGCAAAACGTGAGCCCCTCGGTTCCAGCCCCACCAGCCCGAGGCAGCGCTGAGAGCGGTGACGGACAGGAACAAGCTGCTCATTGCTCCACCACCACCCTCTGGGGGAGCCGAGGTTCAGCAGCGTGTCAGGATGAAAAAAACACTCTTGGAGCAGGTAAAAAACACTCCTGGAGCAGCTCCCTGCGAGAGTGGACGCTTCACCACAGAGCTGTGGGTGGTGGACACAGCCCGCCAGGTCCTGGGCTGCAGGGAGCGCCTTGAGCCTGCCTCTGACACCAGGAGATGGCCCTGCAAGGACCCCCTGTCCTGAAGGAGGTGTGCCACCAAACGAAGATCTATGAGAAGCGAGCAGGCTGCGCACCACCAGAGAAGAAGAGATGGGAATTGATCGAATGAGAATTCACCAGAAGATGATCGAATGAGAATTCACCAGAAGAAGATGGATGGGATCTTGTCTGTGTCACAGCTTGAAGAGCCTCAGACCACAACTGCAGCAGAGAAGCAGGCAGTGTCCAGAGGTCAGCACAACCTCTGGAGAAGGGGAAGGATGGAAGCTGGTAACTTCTGGCGCCACCAGGAAAGCTCCTGCCCCACCTAAGGGCTTACACCTCCAAAACTGAAGAGGAGCCGGATGTCCCTACAAGCAAACAAACGGGTGCACCTCACCCTAAACCACACAAGACCACCAGGAAGAATCAGTCATCATCAAGGGGGATGCTGCACAGGCAAGCACCTGCTGCAGAGGACAGAGGCACCCACCTGGAGACCTGACCTATCAAGCAGGGGGGCTTGCAGCCTGCTGGGCTGGATCCAGGATGTTGTGAAGGGATCCAACATCCCACGTGTGAGCTCTGAAGGCAGTGGTTAAGGGCATGGGAGCCCAAGTGGTGGTCTCAATCCCAACGGAGAGGGAAAAGGGAGTGAGGAGGGCACTGCTGAGAAGGCTCAGGGGGATCTCATCGGTGTACTTAAATACCTGAAGGGAGGGTGCAGAGAAGACAGAGCCAGGCAGGGGACAGGACAAGAGGCAGTGGGCACAAGCTGGAGCACAGGAGGTTCCCTCTGAACATCAGGAAGCACTTCTGTGCTGTGTGGGTGACGGAACACTGGCACAGAGAAGTTGTGGAGTCATCACTGGAGATATTCAAAAGCTGCCTGGACACAGTCCTGGGCACCCTGCTCTGAAGGACCCTGCTGGATGAGGGGCTGGACCAGATCACCTCCAGAGGTCCCTTCGACAGCCTCAACCAGTCTGTGATTCTGTGATAATCTGCTGGAGTAAGAAGCACTCGAGTCACATCCAAGAATGGAGTCAAGAAAACAACAGCAAGTGCAGTGGTAATGCATTAGCTTGTCTCGTGCTGGGCAGCACAGTGCAAAACAAAGTGACGTTAGGTATTCGTCAGTTGGATTACGATGGGACACCAAGCACTCAAGACACTGCAGAATCAACCACCAACAGTGCTGTGATGGGATACTGAGGTTCAGAAATTCAGTGCATCACCAGAGGTCATGCAGGGAGACCTCCCACACTGAACCCAGCTCTCCAAGACACCTGCAACTCCCTGCACCATTATTCTGTGCTTTAGTTTTATATTTTGTGCTTTTAGAATTACTCAAGAGAGCCAAAAGAAATGGCAAGTGTAAAACAGGAGAAAAACACTCAGCTGACAAGCAAGAAGTTACTAAGGGATGAACACAGTGTAAAGCAACCATCTCGCAAGTTGTCCTAGAAATAATTCCCTCTTTTTCTGTCTGCATTATCCCTGTGATGGAGTCTCCTACACTGGACATTTGTGTCACTGTAGCTGCATGTAGAAAATTCACTAGTCAAGAAGCAAAACCACAGCAGATGGGAGTTCATCATGTGCAGAGAGAACTGGTTCTGTGCTGCATAAGTCAGTCTGCCTGCTAATAATGTCCCTATTCATCTGCTGGCTGGAGAAATGAGACTTCTGTTTAAAAAAAAAAGCAAAACGTGGCCCTTCCAGCAAGAGGTTGCTTGACATGAAAACGAGCTGCCTCCCTGGGCAGGACTATTACACCTTGACATCAGGTAAGAAGCTGAAGCAAGAGACCTGGACACTGCTGAGAGGACCACACAAACCAGCAATGCTCAGCCTGCAGTCCTGCTCCCCAGTCCAACACAGCTAATCCACCCCAAACTGCCTGCCTGCCTCCTCCTCTACCTCTCTCCCCTGCCTAGGTTGGATTACGGTTCTTCTACTGGACACAGAGCCCCACTGCCTTTCTTCACAACTCCAACAGCACGTGAAAGACAGACATAAAGCTAAAATCATACCAACCACAAGGACATTGGAGGGAAGGGGCTGAGAACCCCAGACACCTCACTAAATACACACTGAAGTACCCCAAAAAAGACAGAACCTACAGATGGAAGCTGAGGGCAGGGAGGACAAAGAGCTAAAGCTGGAGAGTCCAAAATTGCCTTACAATGTTCTAAAACTAGCTTGGGGCTCACTGTTGGAAAACATGGAAATTTAGAAAGTATTTCTACTGCTTCTGTAGTGTTATCTCCCTATTTTATTTAACATCGCTTTGCAAGAATTACTGTTGCATGTTCCTTAATCAAGGGAAAGGGAGTTGTGTCACCCCTAACACTGAACAGGCACTCTGCAGTGTCTAGAGAAAGATGTAGGTAAAGCACAAGTACAGAAGGCAAAAGGGCCAAGGTGGTGCAAGGAGTTAAGATGCTGGGCTGTTTTTTTAGTACAGAAACAACCAAATTAGAACAGATCAAGACACCAGCAGTTTGCAGCCAGGACGGGGCACCTGGCAGCGTGCACCCTTCTGCCCTGTCAGGCACTACCTGCAGTGGTGGTTTATAAAAAATAAACTTTCACCGCATGCTGCAAAAAGTGGGCACGGAGTCAGTGCTGCCTCTTCCTGAAGGAAGATTTAGGCTGCTCCAGCTGAGCTGGATCTCCTGTGGGATCTGCTGTGGGATCTCCTGTGAGATCTGCTGTGGGATCTCCTGGGGGATCTCCTACCTGCGCACGTCGGCACTGAGGCAAGGCCCTAAGGACGGACAGACGGACGGATGGCTGCCTGCGGTTCCAAGCCCACGTGGCGGCTCCTGACCGGGCCAAGCTCTCAGCTACCGAGGCTGAGATCGGGCTCATTTTGGGGAAGAAAGGCTGGAGGCTGCCGGCTCCCCACCCGGCGCCCTGCGAGCGCGCTCAGGCAGCAGCTCCTGCTCACCTGCACGGCGCGGCGCGGACACTCACTCTGCCATCCCCTGCTCCATATTCAGGTCAATCCCGCCGTCGGCGAGGCTGCCATCGTCTGCGAAAGACGGCTTGGCCATGGAGTTCATGGAGCGGTAGCTGGTGCCGTAGACCACGCAGCTGAAGACGAAGGCGAGCTGCAAGGAGCAAAGAGGCGGTCGGGCAGCGCTGGGGGTGACGGGGGACAAGGAGGAGCAGCATTAGGGCCCCAAGCAGGGCCCTGAGTGCCCGATGCTCACCCAGGTCCATGCGGAGGCGGCGGGGTAGAAGATGACGAGGTTGACCACGGCGTACACAGCCTGAGGGGAGAGCGATGGCGGCGTCAGCCCCAGCCCCAGCCCCAAGCCCGGCGTTGGGCCCTAGCCCGGCCCCGGCCGCGCTCACTCACCGAGGCGCCCAGGATGATGCGGAGGTAGAAGCGCAGCGTCTGCCGGTTCTCCTCCAGGATCTGCTTCTTGCCCTTGGTGCCCGCCTTGCCCTTGGGCTGTGGAGCCGAGAGAGGCGCTCAGCGGCCTCGCCCGGACCCCGTTTCCCCGCTTTCACCCTTCCCCCCCCCCCCTCCACCTCAGCCCGGCCCCGCCGCTCACCGCCATGGCTCCGCGCTGCGCCGCCGGGGAGGGACGGGGGAGGGACGGGGCAGGGCCTCGGGCCCCGCCTCAGCTCCTCGGCTCCTCCTCATGGAGGCCGCGAGTGTGGCCTTCAGAGCAACCTGCACTGCTCCTAGGGCCACTTCCAGCCTAGGAAGGTTTAACTGCAGCCCCATTGCCACCTTGCTCTGAGGTGGCTCAGCTCCTTGCCTGCTCCTCTGCTCAGGAGCAGGAGGAAAATCCTCCTGCCAGACACCCTACAGGGTTCCTAAAGCACCGTGTGGTAAATTCCAGGATGGCCTTGTTTCCTGAAGTATCTTCTACGCCCCATGTCCTAGGAGCCACCCAAGGCGCTTTTCTTCCACAGCTGCTTTGTGTGGGTCCCTTCTGGGGCATTGAGGCAGCAGGGCAGCGTGTGCTGTCCCTGTCACGTCCCCTACATTCCCCAAACCTTCAAAAACGACACGGCCATGAGTTCTCCACAAGTGTTTATTGTCCAAATCTGCAGGAGATGGGGGAGTCGAGAGCCCTGGCCACCCCAGCAGCGTGCAGTTACAGTGCTTAGACAGTCACAGGCTACCCCCTTGTCACTACAACACCCATCGGAGAAGCTGTAGGCACGAGGAGGTGCAGGGCACCGGGGCGGGAGGTTTTTGGGGCCACGGAGGAGGTAGCTCGTCGTATTGCAGTAGTGCAGCAGCATGGCTGAAGTGTGCAAGTATCCACCGGGGTGGGGGAAGGCACCAAGGTTAGCACAGACTGGGGTCAGGCACTGGGGCAGCGAGCCTGTGCCCGTCTGAAATTGTGCTGGGAAGAGGGGACTCGTACCCTAAACGACCTCTGGGAGCATCCCATGGCCCTGCCCGGGACTGGGAGCGCTCGCAGCAAGGAGAGGGAGGGGAGCAGAAAAGAAATCTTTCAGTGCATAAGTGCCTGGCCTGTCCATCAGCAAACCTGACCCTGCTGGGGAGTGCTGGCTGCTCATCAGACCGAGCAGTGGGCATTTTCTAACCCATTTTTAAGCCAGGAGGGAGCCTCTGCCCCGAGCAGCTGTACCGCTGTAGTGATGACCCCCCAGCTGCAGTGCCTGCACCTTCACTCCTCCTGCTGCCCTTGCCCTCTCTGCCCAAATCTGACCGCAGCAAAGGGTGGGTGTGGGGGCAGCACCAGCTGTCTAGAAAGCATTTCATCTTGCCCACCTGTGGCAGGGGAGCAGAGCAGACCTGCCCCTTCCCTCTGCCAACAGTTTGCTGGGGGATGCTGGTGAGTTCTGGCTGGGCACGGTGCAGGAGTGGAAGGCCTCCAGCACAGGAGGGGGACAGGCAGCGCACACCCAAGCACCTGGGCTCGTCCCTTTGGGGCAGGAATGGGGGACAGAGCCTGGAGGAAGGGTTTTGCTGTTGGCAGGCGACAAAACGATTCTAGCTCCAACCACCGCAGAGCTGAATGGGGCAGCCCGTACAGAAAAAAAGGGGCAGGGAGATCGGGCACAGGGGGGATGCAGAAACTCACTGTTCTGCATGGCTGAAGTCATAGCAGAAGTTTAGGTTGCTGGGGGGCTTTGGGACAGGAGGAGGGGTGTCGGGGATGCTGATGTTCTCAATGTCCAGGAGCCGCAGTTTGAGCTCCATCGACAGCAGGACGTCGAGGTCTGTCTGCATGCGCTCGCTTGTCATCTCCTTGCCCAGGAGCACGTTCAGCCCATCCGTCCAGAGGCAAAACTGGGGAAGCACAGGAGCTCAGGAGAAGCTCTGGGCAGCTGGAAAACCCCTACCTCCACCAACCTGACCCACCCCGAGGGCCTGGAGCACCTCCTTCCCTGCCATGCTCTCGCCCTTCCTTCACACAGGCTCAAGGCAGCTCGGTCCGTGAAGCCTTCAGCAGCACCATCCTCTCCCTCCTCACCCCAGCTGAGCTCCCTGCTGTGCTGGGGAGGCCACCAGCTTCTGCCTGCGGTCAGTGTGGGACCAGCTGGCTTCTCAGCGTGTCCCTCAGTGCTACGCTTGCCAGCCACAGCCCCTGGGAGCTCCCCGTCCGACCTTCCCAGCCAGACTGGGGCTTTGTTCATCCCCTTATCTCGCAGCCAGCCAGAGCACTGCAGTCCTCGCATTCCTGCAGGACCATGGCCACGCACGCACAAAGAGGTTACTGTCCCTTTGGTGCTAGCCCAGCAGGCTGGCTGGAAGCCAGGGAACCCCAGCTCCTCTGGGCTATGTAGGAAGGGTGGGAGCAGGCACTTCCCCTCCCAGCATCACAAGTCACCCTTTAGCGTCCAATTCCAGGATCAAGCCAGCAACTGCCTGTCCAGCCTCAGCCCCTTCTCTCCTCTGCACTGCTAAGGCTCCCTTGGCAAGGACGTGCCATCCCGTGGCCCCTGGAGCTCACCTCGTACCGTGTGGGGGCAACGAAGTTCAGGCAGTATTCCTCCACATCATACACGATAGAGAAGGCGAGCTCCAGGACATCCTACGGAGAACAAACAGGGTTTAGGTGGGTTCTCAGCTGGTTATTTCCAGCCTGGTGGGGTTCACAGCAGGAGCTGCCTCCCAGTCTCCTCTGCAGCCTGGAAGACCCAGCAGGTCTCCAATCTCAAGCCACACCAAAAGCCTGGCACGTAGGGGTGGAGGTGCTGACCTTGTTCTGCTTCCCAGAGCTCTTCTCCTTCGTGTGTGGACACTCCTTGCCGATAAGCAGCGCCTTCATGTCTGCCACGGGAACTGGGACAAGCAGAGGAGCTGTGAGTGCCCGCTCTCCTGCTTCCTCCCCCACAGAACCACTGCCACGGGCAGGAGGCATCCTGCCCCACACCACGGGGTGCCCCCAGTGCTCAGAGCCCCGCAGAGCCCAGGCGAGGGGTCTCACAGCAGTTGCCAACATGAGGGAGCTCGAGCTGCTCCACAGTGCCTTTTCACAAGCCAGCCAGCCCCACTGAGATTTTCCCCAGCCCCACGGCACCAGCAGGACCTGGGCCAGATGTGTGGCACCAGGGCAATTCCCACCTTAAAGCCCCCCGAGCATTTAACAAGGGAGGTGGGCAGAGGGCTCCCCTCCTCACCACCCCCCTCCCCTCTCTTTCTCCTCGCCACCTACTTTTCTCCGTCAGGCTCTCGATGGGGGGCGACTGCACCCCCTCCTCCACGTCCCCGTAGTGCAGCACCTTGTGGTTGGGTGACAGGCGGCAGTACCACAGCTTATCTGCAGCAGAAAACCCGCAGGGAAACGCTCAGCCCCCAGCTCCCACCCCACTCCTCGGGGGGATGGCGCTGCCCCCTCAATTAGCGCTTTGCTCAGCGCCGCGGTTAATTGAGGTGCCCGCAGTTAATTGTGGCCTCCCCTTTGGCAGGGAAGGGGGCACTTTGTAAGCCTCTGTGCCCACTCCTTGCCCAGGAGCAGGCCGGGGCTGGCGCTCACCCTGCCTGCGGCGGCTGCTGATCTTGCGGAAGAGGGTGCCCTCGCAGAGCCGCAGCAGGCGCTGCTGTCGGATCAGCTCCAGGAGCTCTGGCTTCAGCCTCTCGCGCAACTCCCTGGGGCAAGAGCCAGAAGAAGAGGAGCACGGACCCTTCAGTAGGCACTCGTTGACCCCACTGCCCTTCAGAGGGCACCCCCAGCCCCACCACATCGCCAGCTCCCTGCCCACAGCCCCACTCACAGCACGGGCACCGCCAGCGTCTCCTCCTGGTGCAGCCGCTCCGTCTGCCGCAGCTTGAGGATCTCGCTGTAGTTCAGTGCGTTCACTCTGGTCTTGAAAAGCTCCAGGGAGGTGGGCTTGAGGGACAGGGTCCTGGTGATCTGCTCCCGCACCACCTGCAGCACCTGGGGGCACAGGACATCATCCCTGGTCTGGTGACGCTCCCCCAGAGCCCCTGAAATATGCGCACGCCCCGTTGTCCCCCAGCCTTCGTTCAAGGCCCCAGCATTTTCCCGTCACCTTATCAAAGTCCTCCTGGGTAGCGCGCATCTCCTTCCAGGTCTTGTTCACCAGCTGGATGCAGATGCAGAAGAGCTCTTCAAAGAAATGATCCTGCCCGAAGAACATAGGGTAAAAGGCCTGAGCCGTCTCCGAGCCTGCGGTGAGAAGGACAGATGATGCCAAACTCCCTACTTTTTCCAGAGAATTTCAGCATCCAGGAGAACCTGGGCATTTCCTAGCCCTACCTCCCCTTCCCTGCTGTCGGCCACGGCAGAGCCTGGGGGCCCCGCTGGACAGGCACGCACGCAGCCCCCTGCCTTGTGTCCCCGCTGGGAGGCAGCAGGGCAGGGAGGGGGACGGGCTGGGCACGTACACGGCTCTCCGATGTGCAGGATCTCACAGAGGATCAGGGTGAGCTGGATGCTGCTCCGAGCGAAGGGGCATTCGTGTTTGTCTTCACGGCTGCTGTTCTCGAGGACGAACTGAGGAGAGGGTCGATACCTCACGTTACACACGCCACAAAATCAGTGCTGTCCCCGCAGCGAGGCTCCAGCTCCCCACCATCCTCCTGAACCTCCTGGTTGAGCTGTTCCCACCAGAGCTGAGCTGTTCCTAACAGCAGCAGCTCGTTCTCCCCAGGAGCCAGCCCCAGCATCCTCCTTCCCCTGCCTCAGCTGAAGGCAGGAATTGATCGCAGGCAAAGCAGGTCCAAGCGTGGCTAACACTGCACCCACTGACTGCTTTTTTTCCCCCAAAATCACCCTCGTCTGCTCAGACTTGAACAAGGCCTGGAAACCCAACTGTAGGCAAAACACTTCAGGGACCCTTCAGCAAGGTACCAGCAGCCTCAAATCGCTGCTCCTACCCACAGGAAGGACTCAGCTGCACTTGAAATTAAAATGGGGCAACAGCAGGATACCAGCTCAAAAGTGGTATCCCGGCCAAGGACAGGCCACTATGAAGACAGGAAAAGAAGCCGGAGATCCACCAGCACCTCCCTGCTGGGGAATTCGCCAGGAGAGAGCACGCACCCGGCTGTAGGCGTTGGGGGTGTGCCTGGAGAAATAGAGCATGTTGTCGAGGGCGAGGAGCCCCGGCGGGGCACGGCGGAGGTCCTCTGCTGGGTTGCTGTTGTTCTGGAAAGACACAAAAGGATTCAACTTTGCCACTCAGAGAAGAAAGCAGCAGCTGTTGAGTCACCCCAATGCAGTCCAGGGCCTTGCCCTTCCAAACAGGGGCTGCAGGAAAAGCAAAGAGCGGTGATAACAGTCCCGGCGGGGCACGGCAGCTCCACAGCACTTGCTGTTTAGCAGCGTAGGGGTGGCAAAAGGGAAGCACCACACGGCAGGACCAAGAAGGACAGCAGGCCCAGGGGAGAAGCTGCAAGTCCTGCTGAAGCTGGGAAGTGGAACTGGCATGTGGCCGGGGAGGGGACAGAGGGTGGCCGCACCGTGAAGCCCAGCTTGCGGAACTCCTTGGCGCACAGGGACCGCCGGCGCTCGGTGCTGAAGTTGCTGGTGGGCGCCTCGCTCTCCGACTCGAAGGCAGCTTGGCGCAGCGACTGGAGGAGCTCCCGCTGCTCCTGGGGGGGACAAGCAGAGGGGAGGGATGCCAGCGGGAACCGCGCAGGCAGGTTCCCCTGGGTTTGAAACCGAGAACGAAAGCAAATGCGCTGGGAAAGGAACGCACCCCAAAGGCAAACCCTCGCCCGGCTCTGCTTCCGCAGGAGGAAGCGGGGTCGGACCGGCAAGGAGAGCGCTCCCCCACCTGTGAGTAGGGATCCATGGAGGTCCTCATGCGGCGGTCGTAAAGGTTGAGGCTGACGGACTGCAGCACGTACAGGTAGTGGGCCATCTCGTCCCCCAGCGGCTCCGGGCTGTGGATGATGTTCTACAGGAGACTGTGAGTGAGCAGGGACCCCAGGGCGCTGCTCCCAGTCCCTCCAGACCGAGGGACCAAGAGCTGAAGCCCGGCAGGATCTGCTGCTGGAAGGGGCTTTAGGAAACGGGCAGCTCCCCAAAAGGCTGGGTGCTGTGGGGGGCACACACAAGGGTGCAGAGGCTGGGGGTAAGGACAAGAAGAAGCACAAAGCAGACGCTTGGGCGAGCACTGCTCCTCACCTTGTGGATGAACTGCCTGATGTTCTTCTCCCGCAGGTACTCCATCATGTCCTAGGGGGGAGATTTAAACACCTCGGGGACCTCCTCACAGCATCCCAGAGAAGGCAAACGCTACAGCAGAGGACCCAGCCGCCCAAACCTCCCATCGCAGGGGAGGGAACGCCTGCCCTGTGCCAGGCTCTGGTCTGGGCCACCACAGTCCCTGTGACACCACCAGCCCTGGTGCTGTTGCTGTCATCTGACATCTCGCACTGGTGTTTGGGTTCCCGGTGCCCCCCACCCCACAGCCCCTTACCCGCCGCTCGCTGTCGGTCGCGGCCAGCAGCAGCGCGATCAGCAGGGCCATCGCCTTCAGCTGCAGCTGGGCGTTCGTCCTGAGGAAGGAGGGTGAGGAAAGTCACCAGCTGTGGTGACCGGCACAGTCCTCTGCCCCCTTCTCTGCTGCACCCCAAAAGAAGCCAGAGCCATGAGGGAGCAGCTGCTGACAGCGGGGCCGGGGCAGCTCTGGGAGCACTGAGCAAGGAGAGCCTAGACACGAAGGAGAAGCTGCAGGTGCATGGGCCTTTGGGACAAGGGAAGGGGACAACGTTTTGGAGCCACGGGAATAGGTGGGGTGGAAACCCAGGGCAAGCAGCAGGCCTGGGAGGCCAGCAGGAGTCCTGGCCACAAGGCTTCCCGTTTTCTGGAATGAAAAGCTCAAAACTGAAGACGTGCAGAGGTATAAGGAAGAGGGAACGCAGAACCTGCCTCAGCTGTACTACTGCTGTTCATAAACACACTGGGGAGAGGGAAGGAAGAGCCAACGCCAGAAGAAAGGCAGTTCAGCTAAAGAACAAAAACATCTGAACAAAGCAGGCAATGAACGAGTCCATGAATGAATCCAACCTGGACACAGGACGGTTTCCAGAACAGTCCAAGCCTCCTGCAGCACTGGGGCAACAAGGACAGAGGCAGGCCACCCCCAGAACATTTATAAAGGGACAGTGCAATGTAGTGCTAAGGGTAATCAGCAAGACCCCAAAAAATCCCCTCAGTGCCGCACTCCCCCTGGCTTTCGGGTGCAGGAGACCAGTGCTCTGGCAACCACTTACACCTGCAGGTGGGTGAGAAGGCGATCCACCGTCACTTCTTTTTTGACTAGGTCAAAGAGGAGGCGACTGCTAGGTACCATGTTCTCCAGGATTGACAAGGAGAGCTGCTGCACAGAGGCGTCCATCGCGTTCATGTTGACGTAGCTCACTATCTACAACACACACAAACATCGAAGGCAAGCTGAGCCTAGGTAACGAGGGCAATGAGGCACCCAAAGGCACAGTTACGGAGTCTGCAGAACGAGCTGCTTACCTTTTTGATGAAGGCTGCGCTGAGAGTCTCCCAGGAAACGAAATCGTGCTCCATCAGCTCCATGAAGGCCTTCAGGGTGTGAGCCAGGATCTCCCCCGAACTGCAGGAACAGAACAGCGAGCTCGGTGAGGATGGGGCCAGGTACCCCCAGCCCCCACGGGAAGGTGGGAGGTGCACATTGCTGGGCACATCAGGAACAAGCAGAAATGCAGGCAAGTGAGCACGAGAATGAAAAGAACAGAAAGTGAGAATGTAGGGCAAGAAATGAGACTCTCACTTGGTCATCCCAGAAGTCAAGGCAGGGGAAGTTGTACAGTTTCTGGAAAGCTGCGTTACCACAGTACAACAATCGCGCACACAATCCTTAGTAAACCCAAACCACCCCAAATCCCACCCCGTGCTTTCAAGAAACGTGCACTTTGCTGTGTGATTTTAGGTTCCACTTCCAGATGAGATGCACCCCCACATTGTGAGAGGATCGAGGCAGGGAGGCAGGATTTTGGCAGTCAGGTTTTTCTCAAGCTGCCCACAGACCTCTTCCGGCTAAAAACCTCAGGGCAGAGGGATTATTTGGGGGTGGCAGATGGGGCAGCAGGAACCAGCAGCAGCAGGAGGTCTCCTGGTAGCAAAACTGGTAGTGCTGCAGATCACGAAGCCAGAGAAGGGATGGGAAGTTCAAGTCTGAGCACATTCACAAGGGGTCAGGCCCGCAGGCAGGGGACCTCCGCCTGGCTCCCAGAGCGCAGGGAGGAAGCCACGTCCCTGCAGGGAACAAACCTGCAGAGCTGCTGCCAGCGCTGCCCTCCGTGCTGCAGCACGGGGCCTTTGGAGAGAGCAGCCAAAAGGAGCAAGAAGCCAGGAAGACGAACGAAGCCCAGCTTGGAGCTCATACAGCATTAGCAAGGGAGGAGACAAGTCAAGAACTGCAAGGAAATTCCCCTCCTGATACTCACTCGTTCCCTTCCTCCACAATGCAGAAGATTAGTTTCAAGCCATTCCTGTTGATGAACTCCTGAGCAAAGGTAACGTCCTGGGAGAGGCTTGCAAGCTTCTTCAATGAGTCAGTCTTCACGTCCACGTTGTTGCTCCGGATCCCGTTGTACAACCTCTCTGCTTCTTGGTCCTACCAGGAAGGAAAGAATCAAGCCACCGGGGCTCGTCAAAAGGCAGCAAGAAACTCGGAGGCAGAGGCTGGAGGAACGTAAGTGTAAAGTTTTGGAAGGAGGCTCAGGCTAGAGCAGCCCCAGCAAGGAGAGGACCGAGACAGAGCGATCAGAGCAGAAACCAGCAGGAGCTGAGGAAGTCAGGCCGGCACCGCGCTAAGGACACTTGATGAATCTGCCCGTGCATCCACAGCGCTTCTCAAGGCTATTTGGTTCTCTTCACGCTCCCCCAAGCCCTACTGAGGGAGGATGAAGGCTGAGACAGCTCTCCCCACGTTATTTCTGCTGGGTCTGAGGCACCGGGAGGAGCTGTCATTAGCCAGGAGTCGCCGAGGGAGGCGGGGGGGGCTCGGAGGGCCGCATCGCCCCGCGGCGGGGAGCAGAGCGCCGACCCCAGCTTTCGGAGAAGGAGACAGGGGATGTACCGGGGAGGTGGTCAGCCGCAGGATGCTCCCGTTCTTAATCTCCCCGCGGTTCTGCGAGGAGAAAGGGAAGCGGTGAGGGGGGCGTGCGGGGTCACCGGGGCCGGTGTCCGGGCGGGCAGGTGGCCGCTCACCGACTCGGTGATGTAGGTCTGGCGCCCGTCGGCGTACTGCAGGGCGTAGTGCTCCGCGTTGGGCAGGCTCCACCTGCGAGGACACGCAGCCAGGCGTGGAGCCAGGATGGTCCCGGCCACCACCGCCCGGTGGGACACCGGTCACCGCCTGTCACGACCCGGTGGGCCACCGCGGTCCCCATGTCGCGATACTCACGCGTCGCAGACGTCCTTGAGCACGGAGGCCAGAGGCTTGGTCTGCGGGCGAGGGAAAGGGAGGACGGCGGTGAGAGGGCGGCTGCGGAGCCAAGGGGCTCTGCTGAGGGGGGTCCGGGAGGTACCTGCTGGAGCTCGATGAGCTGGGGGATGGCGCCCACCATCTGGATGGCGATCTTCACCACGTCCTTGGGCGGCGGCATGGCTCCCGCAGCCGCCCCGGCAAAGCACGGCCCGCCCTGGCTCCCCGCCGCAGTTCCGGGTCGCTGCCGCCCTCCCCGCCCCTGGGAGGGCCCGGGAGGCCCGAGGGGAACACGGGGATGGGGCCCCGGTGGGTGGGTGGATGGGTGGGTGGGGGGCCCGGGCTGGGGCTGCTCCCGAGCGGAGGCAGGGAGGGCAGGGGTCACGGCAAACCCAGCACGGGAAGGGCCCGGAGACACGGGGAGCAGGCCGGAGGCTCTGGAAAGGGGTCGTTTATTCACTCAGAGAACAACTGTACAAATATTACAGGCAAATTTCTTTCCTTTCAGAAAAAAAAAAAAGTAGTATAAAAATAATCTTTATATATGAATCAAAGTTCAATCTGTTACTGTAAATCTTCTCTACATCTCTTTTTTTTCTTTTTTCTTTTTTTTTTCTTCCAAACATTGTCTAACCGACGGCAAACATGAACACTGGGAGGGAGAGCGAAGGTCGGGCAGCGCGCTGACGGGAGCTCTAGCTACGCACAAGCCGCGGCGCCAAGCGAACGCGCGAGCAGGACCAACAGTTTTTGGGTAGCTTCCATGCAAAGGAGGGAAGGCCGAGGAACTGCTGCATGCGGACGCAAAGTTCACCACCCACCCGGTCTCCGTCTCACCAGTAGTAGCTGCCCACTGCCATCTAGAAACTAGAAAAAGTGTCCAATGTTGTCTGCTCCTACTGAATTCTTCACGTTTCTCCTAGAGGATGCTGGTGCTTCACACCACGAGCTTCCCACGCTGCAGAAGTGAACAGCTTCTGGAGGAGTCCCACAAAGAACAAAATGGCACGAGGAGCCACCTCGGGAAGAGAGGTCCCAAGCCTACGCTCTTCTCACCTCTGCAGGCTCCGAGGATCGAAGACATCCCATTTACATCCCTTATTGCTCGTGCTCCAGCTTTTTTTTTTTTTTTTTTTTGTGGTTCACACGCGGTGAGCAGCTGAGCAGAAGTCAAACACTGACTGGTCGTGCAGATGGCTGCAAGCTCTCTCTGCAATGCCCAGCCACGCTTCCTGGCCCGGCCTCCTCTTCGGCAGTTGGCTGAGCAGGAAAGGCACGACAGCTGCTACCGCTGCGTTGGCAGGAAGATGTGCAAAACTGACGACAATCAAATAACACGATCTGACCAGAAAAACATCGGGGGCTTGCAAAATATAATACAAATCCACGAAGGATTTTTACCAATAAAAAAAATGCACAGGGTCAAAGATTGATCAGAAAAAAAAACTCAACAGCAGACCTTCCGTTAAGAAAATAATTAAGAGAACCTCACGGAACAAATGATGCAGAGAAAGCAACACACTGGGCAGCAACCTGCCACAGGATCAGGAATTGGGAGCATGGATACGGACACTAGGGGAGCAAATTCAAATATACAGAAAGCCTGATCCTGAACAGATGCTAAGAGGGGAAAAAAAGGGTGGGGGGAGAACAAAACACGATTTTGATGACACCTCTGTATCTTGTCACAGCAGGGTACCACTGAATTGTTACTGCTTGGTCGCATTTTAGACAGTTGAAGGCTCAAGTGCAATGGTTGGAGAACAATTATATGCTAATATGAGCAGGGTCTGATGTAGTTGGAGTACCTTAAAGGCACCAGCTGGAGCAGTCTGATCCTTTCAAGCATCTCTTAAGAATAAAACAACAATATTAATACTGGCACACCTTCTTCAGCCCTGCAGAAACAGCACAGCTGCTGTACAAGGAGCTGGACCCCCTGGGCTTGTGCATCAGCAGACTGGTGAACACACACCACGAGAGAACCAGGATTCCTAGTGATGCAAAAGCAGGGAAACTCTCAGCTCAACTCCTGGGTCCTACTAAGAGGAACAGCTGAAAAAAAAGTGCTTTTTCTTGTAAAACATACTAGCTTGGTCTGGAGTCGCTGGAAGAAGTGGACACTGTGGTGCCTTTTTTTTTTTTTCCTCGTCATTCAAAATATAACCACCCCAACCTGAACCACTCACACTGAAAGTCTAGCTAATTACATCCGGACCTGTGAAATGACCACACAATATTAGGGCTCCGTGTAGCAGCTGGTACCTAGGAGGTGCAAAGTGCCTCTAGGAGTGCAGGAAAACCAAGGCATGCAGATTTGAGGAAGCTCAGAGAGGCACATGGGCAAAACTCTACAGATGAGCTGGGAGCACTCAAATCACAGACCCTTCGAACTGAGGCCCAGGATCCGGTGAAGAGAGAGGTGCAGCGAGGCGAGTTAAGTCAAAGACCTTGCATGTGCAACACAGGAAGAGAAAGAAGCTACAAGGAGGCTCCCGGCCTGCAAGTCCACATCTCTTGGTTCTGAGTCCGTTTGAGAACATCTCTGAATCACTCATTCGTCGAGCTCTAGCACAAAAGGAATCCAAAAATAGACACTTTCCAAAGTTACAAAATGTTCTGTCTCTGCGAGGCTCGCAGCCACACTGAGAAGTCAGAGGTTAAGGACAGGCACATCAAAGAGGTCACAGACGCCTTCACTCTCGTCCAGGTTATAGATGTAGTCGTGGTCTCCGGGAGGAGGGGAGAGGCGAAGCAAGGGAGCAAACACTGGGAAAGAGAAGCCCACAGTTGGTTACAAAGCTCAGCACACCCACACCTAGCCCAAAGTTGCCATCGGACACCAAGCCATGAGGCTGCCCCATGGCCCAGGGTGTCCACCCCACGTTGAGGTCTGTCAGGGAGCTTCAAATCAGCCTCAAAATGCTGGAGAGACTGAGTGGGCTCTTCTGCTCCTGTTCTGGCAGGACAGTGAGAACGGAGTCTATGCCCAGAGCCCAGAAAAATGAGGGCAAGCCTGCATTCACAAGGCTGCCAGCTGTACAAAGTCACACAGAAATAGTCTTCTCCCCCAAAAAGACCACACCGTGAGGGGGAAACTCAGAGACTCACCTTCGGACGACATCAGCTCTTCCAGTAGCTCGGAGTTCATACATTCTAGAGAAGAGATGAGCACAGTAAGTAACACACACCGCTTCCCTGGTCTGTGCCTGGGTAGTTTCCCACCCTTCCCAGCCTCTTTTGGTCCTCACCCTTTTTACCCCTTTTTTTTTTTGCTGATGCAAAGCGTGTGCAGGTAGTGAGAGGAGAAAGAGCAGGCCTCCTGCATGGGCAAAGGGAAAGCTGCACGTCAAGGCAATTCAAGCAGCATCTAAACATTCTGCGGGAGTTTTCTGCCTGCTTAGCTCAGCCATAAGCCAGTCGCTTTCGTATCATGGGCTACACTTTATCCCCGCACTGGCACGCTAGCTGGTGTCCCTCAACTCTTCCAAAGGAAACTCTCCAACACGCATCTGAAAGTGAGCTGGTAAAGCCTGACACACTCCTGGTCGTCAATTACGGGCTGACTTTACTAGAGTGGGGAAAAAGTGGAAAAGAAGTGAGGTGTTCCAGGAGCAGCAGAACTAATCAATCTCTCCAGTTTCCTCCAGATTTGTCCCCTTTGTTCCCCCTAATTTGTTCCCTTTGCTCCACAGCTGTGCTGTGGCTAATCCAGCAATATGCACTGGTAGATTGGCTGGCTGCCCACTGCCAAACAGAATAACATCTGAGCTCTGCATATCCTTCCCTAATGGGTCATTAACTGCTCTCCCCTCTAAGTTTTTTATAGTTTTGTGTGGGCAGTAATTATCTCCGAAATGTCATTCCTTCCTCCAGTCTTGTTAATCTTGGCTGGTAGGTTCACAAGGCACTTGAGGGGTAGACAGACAAGCAGCCAGATAAAGCGTGTGCAAGTCAATCTCTTTTCTTAAAGAAGTGTTTGAAAACAACTTTCTGAATCCCTTTCCCACTTGGCCAAGTTAAATAGTGAAGATCTAAGTCAATCTAGCTAGGGTGATGAGATACTACCCACGCTTGAAGTGAGTTTTCACCTAAGAAACTCAGATGAACCCATCTTCATGATGGTTACCCATAGCAGGCTGTTTCCTAGAGGACAGGAACCTACCTGCCTAACTCAGTGTTGTGAGATGAGAGTATTTCAATTGGAAGTGACTAGACAGGAATGATACCAGCTTCAAAAACAGCAATTAAATACAGAGCCTACGTTCTCAGATCTTTTCAGGGCTGATAATGTAGCAGGATGTGCACGCGTGTGTTGAATTTTTTTTTTCCAGGATACAAGTATAAAGCCAGCAGTTATTAAACATCCACTTAAGAGACAGAAAACCACACAGAGAAAGTACAATACAAAACACAAAACACTAAGGAAGAAGTTGCAGGCTTTTGCAGCTTAAAGTGCATAGCCTGAAAGCAGCAGCCAGTGACAGAGCACCATTACTATGATCACATCGACTTGAAAGAGGCTGCAAAGTACGCTGCAAAAATCATTTCCCTGAGCTTTTAAGTGTTGATTTTTTCCAGTGCTGAGCTTCACCACTTGCCCATTCCATTTTGCAGAGCAGAGCTTTCACTGGCAATCAACAGCACATCATGGTTAAAACCTGACTATGCCGTGTTGCACTTTCCTTCACTCCTAGACCTGTCCTTTCCCGCTCCAAACTGTAAAGAACACTCCATAAAACAACATACATTAACGTAGACAGCAAACCTCTCCATTTTAATAGTGTTCATGTAGTCACGTAGCACAGTTTGGGTTAAGCTGTACCTTCCACATGGGCTGGGGCCCTGCAGCAGTTTATGTTTCACGCTGCACAGTGTCAGTTTTACTCTTCAGATGTGTTCAGCTATTACCAAGACCTCACCCACTGCCTACAGCTGCGGGTGCTCCAAGCGCTGGGCTGAGCATGGAGGGAAGGTGCCCTCCAGGCCGACCGTGGAGCCTGGCTCAGGGTTCCTAGCACACAGATCGGACGGTTGCACGTGTATGGCATTTGGAACTGCGTGGTTTTTACAGCAAAAAGCTGCTCTTTCACGAAGTATCCGCTAGAGCAGAGAACTAGGGACTCCAGGGAACAGTTGTGACATATCCTGTCACCACCACGAAGTGCTTGTGTGCACTCGGCTCCACGTGGCTGCAGGGCTAGGAAGTATTTTGCCAGCAAAGGGAAAGACTGGGGTCTAAATGTGCAAATTTAAACAACAAAA